GCTAAACTTGAGAGCACGGTCAAGAAATTTAATACTCCTCATAAAGACTTAAATTTACTTCTTGACACTATGCATTTTTCTAAGGAAGGAATAGGCTTTGATAATAATAAAGCTAAAGATAATGTTGAGCCACCACCTAGACAATCATCTAAGGCTCAACATAAGAAACCTAAAAATCAAGATAATAGAAAACCTAGTCAACCTAAGGACACTAGACAACCTAGACTAAAACCTAGGAATGAAAACGGTCATGGTAGACAACCTAAGAAAAATGATTTTGTGCATAAAAATGAATTTTCTCAAATAAGAAAAAATAATGCTAGAACACCTAGAAGAGGCCAGTTTCAAAATTTCCAAAAACCATCATTTTCACAAAATAGGAACAAAATGGTTAAACCTTCTAACTATTATGAACCTAGGCACATGTACAACCCCAATGTAGTTTGCCATTATTGTAATAGGATAGGCCACATTGCTCCCGTTTGTTACACTAGGCATAGGCACTTGTCACAAAATCAAGCACACTACCATCACACACCTAACACCCGAGGATCCAACGTAAATTGGGTACCTAAAACTCATTGATGTTTTTTATAGGTGTGCTTGAAGGCATCAAGTGTACTTTGGTACCTTGATAGCGGATGCTCCAAGCACATGACCGGGGATGCATCCAAGTTTCTCCAAATCAAACCCGCTAAAGGAGGAAACATAGTTTTTGGAGACAATAGCAAGGGAAAAATTATCAGCATTGGTTCAGTAGGTAAATCTAAAAACTCCTCTATAGATAATGTCTTGCTTGTTAAGGGTCTTAAACACAATCTCTTGAGCATAAGTCAATTATGTGACAAGGGAAACCGTGTCACCTTCGATTCAAAATTATGCACGGTAGAACGCCTTAGTGACAATAAGGTCATTCTACGTGGTGATAGAATTGATAACATATATATGGTTAACTTAGACAAATCTCCCTCCGGCTTTGCTAAGTGTCTCATGAGTAAAGAGGAAGACACTTGATTATGGCACCGAAGGGTAGCTCATATGAACATGAACCTTTTGAACAAATTGGTTTCACAAGGCTTAGTAATTGGCATTCCAAAACTTAAGTTTGAAAAAGACGCCATATGTGATGCATGTCAAAAGGGGAAGCAAGTTCGGGCTTCGTTTAAGTCTAAGAACGTTGTCTCAACGTCTAGACCGCTTCAACTTTTACACATGGATCTCTTTGGTCCTTCTAGAACGAAAAGCTTTGGTGGCAATTACTTTGCGTTTGTGATTGTCGATGACTACTCTAGGTTTACATGGACCTTGTTTCTAACTCATAAAAGTGAGGCATTTCATGTTTTCAAAAATTTCTTAAAGAAAGTTCAAAATGAAAAAGAAACAACCATAGTAGCCATAAGAAGTGACCATGGGGGAGAGTTCGAATGAAATCTGTTTTCAGATTTGTGTGACGAACTTGGCATTGATCATAACTTCTCAGCCCCACGTACACCACAACAAAATGGAGTGGTGGAACGTAAGAATAGATGTCTCGAAGAGATGGCTAGAACTATGATCAATGAGGCAAAAATCCCTAAGTATTTTTGGGCGGATGCCGTGAGTACCGCGAGCTACGTGTTAAACCGAGCCGTCATTCGACCGATACTCATGAAAACGCCCTATGAACTATACAAAGGGAGAAAGCCAAACCTTTCCCATCTTCGAGTCTTTGGTTGCAAATG